CATAAAACAATAAAAAGCAGAAAAATAAGACAAAGACAAATCACTTGTTGGGATCTTTTGTTGAGTCTCTCCCTTTAATTATTATACATATATATTTACCACGGGCAAGTCAAGTCATCCTAGGTGAGTTACTTACAGAAATGCAATGTTTGGGGAAATTTTCTAATGCAATGTTTTTGATGCAAAGCTAAATTTGATTAGAGGTCTTGAGGCACTGCTAAGGATAAATTAATATTTGCAATGTTTTTGTTATAAAACTAAATCTGGTTAAATTCTTTGAGGCACTGCTAAAAGTGTGTTTTGGGCAAAGGTTGTCAGACAGAGTATAGAGCATTTCATAGAGTGGTTTCTAAAGCTAAGTGAAGTTGTAAGTGTTCCCCAGGTGATACTTTAAGAGTTGTTAAAGTTACCTGTATGGTGTTTCTTAAAGTTAAAGAATACTTTTTGAGTGTAGTAAGATATTTACCTTGTGTTATCGAAGTTAAACGATACTTTTTGAGAGTAGTAAGATATTTGCCTTGTGTTATTGAAGAAATAATACCTTTTGAGTGTAGTAAGTGATATTTTTGAGCATGCATTGTGGTTTTAACCCTTGTATTGTGTTAGAAAGCTACACGCGTCTTTAGTATTACCGGGTCAAATTTGACCCGTGATTTAACTCAGCCTGAAAATACTTAAAAACACTAGATATCATCCAATATTGTTTTTCCCCTCATAACTAACTTAGTATGTGTTCATATCCATGGAAACATTTTTATTTTTTTTTTGGCTGCACAGACCTTTTATCTTAAAATATACCACTCGTTTTTGATTACAAAAACTGCTTAAATTCACTAATTATATTTCCTATAGTGATAAAATTTGTAATTATATTATATAATTATACTATAATCATAATAATTTTATATATAATACATATAATATAAATCTAATTTATATAAGTATAATTATATTGGGTGTGAAGAGGCTTGGTGACCATGAACTGTCACTTTTTCTTGACTTGAAGACGTCTCTTTCAGTCTTTGTGACATCTGGGTTCTCCTCACCACATGTGTGCTCTTGTTCAGGGTCATACTGAACCTCATCCTCATCCACAGACGTATATATGAATGGACATAACTAACGCTGTAGCCACCGCGTTCCAAAATAGAAAGTTCTCCAGGAGGCTCTTCCAGGCTCCTTCTGACTCTGGCTCCAATTGACTTATGTTAGGATCTTGTCGTCCTTCTCTCTGTACCTGCTGCTGTGAACCTCGTCATTTTGGTCTTAAAATATACGTATTAACCTGCGACACATGATCCTGATTTTTTTTTTTTTTTTGGCTGTTTTGTCCGTCCAAAAAATCCTATTCATAACATATAACCTGGCTCTAGATTCAAGCGCCAAACGCTGTGGGTGACGTCACACTCACTTAGTCCACTTCTTTTATTCAGTCTGTGCCCTCATCCTCATCCTCAGATACATCTTCCTCAGCTTCACTTTCCTCTCTGTCTTCAGAATCACTGTCATGACCAAAGATCTGATCCAGCGCCTCATAAACAGTGAACCTGCTCATGTTGACTGATGCTGCAACAGATACAGCTGATAATATCTCACTAAAACCCTGTTTATATATGACAATGTTTATTTTAGATTCAAAATTTATCAATGTGCTGCAAGAAAGAGAAGAGTTCACGTGGGTGAAGACGACCTTTTTGTGTGTGTGTGTGTGTGTGTGTGTGTGTGTGCGTGTGTGTGTGTGTGTCTGTGTGTGTGTGTGTGTGTGTGTGTGTGTGTGTGTGTTGTGGGACACACTGAGCCATATTTGATCCACAGAGCAGCCTACAGCTTGTAAGTGATGCATAAAACAGCCACTATTCTCTGCCGGGTCATTTTTGACCCGTAACACCACAGATGTCACTTTTTTTTTTTCAGACCTTTACAATTTACTAAAATGGTGAAAATTGATTTTGTTGCGTTAAAATAGTTGTGTCTGAGGATTAGATGAAGCCTCATTCCGGTACAAAAAAGCAGTTTTTACATACCTAAACTTGAAAACGGGTCAATTTTGACCCTAACACAATATAAGGGTTAATCCAATTTACAGACAGATAAATGTCCTAATATGTGGCTCCGCATCAGTATTTATCTACGGTGTAATTTGTCTGTGTCTGTGTCCGTACTGTCCCTGAACACACCACCAGAGTGACGTCACTTCACTCGCGTGATCGAAGCGGCTCTTAGATCCGGCTCTTTGAAGCGAACAACGGGAGCCTGCTTCTTATTGGGAGCCGTGTTTTCTCTTTTTCTCACTTTTTCTCTTCATGCCGCTTGTAGACCCGTAGTTTGACAGCAGCAACGGCTGAAAATGAAACTTTCAGAAATCTGCGTGTGCATAGGATAAAATAAGTGCATATTTGGCTGCAGTTCAGCATAAAATGAATAAACCAGGACTAAACTTGGGCTTAAGTGAAGGAGAGAGATAGAAACCGAGTCCCGACACTCAGTCTTGGTTCAGTTCTGGTTTAGTCCTGCTTGCAACAAAACCATCTCAAGAGTCGTTTGGGAGCCGAAAGAGCCAGTTGCTTTAGTGAGCCGAGAGCCGGTTCTCCAAAAAAAACTGGAATACCCATCACTAGCAGTGACAGTAACAGTAGCTAGAATGTGATGCAAAAATGCCATTAGGCCAATCTACTGTATGTAAATATGATGTAAAGAGTCAAAATAACAATAAATGTTGCCTAAATAAACCCAATTTAGAATCCACTAGAGCCAAACCTAAGTTTTTTAATCAATTCAAGATTTACAGTGAATTTTTACATCACTAAATATATCGGTGATTATATCGGCCATCGGCAGCTCCAACTCCCATTATATCGGTTTCATATCGGTCACAACAAAATCCATATCGGTCGGGCTCTACTTTTAACGTTTATCTAACTTTTGAAGCAGACTAGTTTAAGATATTAGCATTAGCTTCACAAAGAAACTACACACACGACTTTACCAGTTTGATTTGTTTTTTGGGCAAAGATTTTTGGGACCAGACAATATAAGTAAAGGTTAAAGTAACTTCAAACTGGAAAGGTTTTTGTTGTTGAGGTTAAACTGTAAACAATAGTTAGACTAGTGTGACCAGACGTCCTTATTTACCCGGGACAGTCCCAGTTTTGAGCCTGTGTCCCCTGTCCCAGCAGATTTATCCAAAACCAGTGATTTGTTGCAGTTTTATATAAGAAATGTCCCAAGTGTCCATATTTTGGACCAATCTGATCCCTGCCAACAGTAAAGAGGAGCATATATTGACATTTGTTAAACTAAAATACAGAAAACAGAGCTTGAACCATAAAAGAAAAAATGCACCAACAGGAGTCCCTCAGATTAAAACTGACCCACAAGTGAGTCGAGAACGGACAATGTTACGAGCTCTTTTCACAGTTTATTTATGCCAACCGTCCCGACCCGGGTGTCTCCCACTCCTTGAGTTTTGAAAATCTGGTCACCATAAGTTTGACAAAACTAATGACAATAGTTTGACAAGTAACAAGAGCCATTTAAAGTGACCTGGATTAAAAAAGCGAATACTGTGCTGTTAATCTGGTACTGTCAGTGAAATTGTAACTGAATAACCATTTCATTTTGGGCAACTATGAACACACTAAACCTTTAAAAGCTAAACGGGCTGCACAATAAACTGCTATTTAATTGAAATTGCAATTTGAGCACAACCATCAAATAACAAAGTCTGCAACAAAGACCAGACTCATTAAAACTGGACTACAATGTACTGACAACACGTTGTACATGTTCGACTGTTAACTACAACTGTGTTCTAGTTTTGTATTTGTCATTAATAAAAGTTTTATGTGAATTTCAGGACCAAACTTGTCACCTGACAAACCCGAGAGTGACAACGATGTGTCCAGTCCTCAACCAGGGCCGAGTGGAGTCTTACCCTGGACTAATCCCTCCACACCTTCAAACAGTGGAAACCTTCAAACCACCAAGAGAAGGTCTCCATGTATCGAGGTGGAGGAAGAGAGCCGCCAGACGAAGAGGAGCAGGACAGATCCTGCTCCGAAGAAGAGACCAGCCAAGTCCAACCATTCCATGGCACTTCAGAAAAAAAGGCTCAAAAAGACAGGTAATGTAACTTATAAGTTAAACTACATGGGTCAGTTTGTACTGTGTTATTGTAAGATATATCATGCGCCTAATAGAGTGACAACCTCAAATAGTAGCAAAAATGATCTAGAAACTGTTGAAATCAGTTTGTTTCGAAGACTCAGTTTCAGTCTGATGGTGCTGGTCTCAGAAACTAGAATCCAAAACTAGTATTTCCTAGTGTCCTGCGCTGAGTTAGATAAGTCCCGCCCTTAAGGCAGGTGTTTTGGCCTGAAAATACCCTGTCTTGGTTTATAGACAAGCATCATTATGGATTGTTCTGGACCTATCCTGATTTACTGAACTCTCCTACTTGACTCAGGCGCAGGATACTGTTGTAAAACATTAGGCAGACTGTAGCTAAACCCACCATTTTAATTTTATGAGTTAAAACTGCTTTGGCGCTGTATGAGTTTCAATCAATTTGGCCATTTTATCATTTTGACCTCCACCTGGCTCCTTGAGAATAAAATTTTAGCTATACATTTTAAGTCACGTCTCTGCCCTTTTTATTTTACATATTTACCTGTGGCCTCGGTCATTTGTGTTTTTTCAAAAAAAAAAAAGATCTATTTATTTAAATAGAACATCACTAAAGGTCACAATAGAATGTTCTGTGATGACATCACTAAGGTCGCCATGACAACAACTTGATCTCAGAACTTAAATACATGTAAGCTTGGACATTTTAGACAAACAAACAGACAGACGACAGACAGGCTGCGTTTAGACTTTCGTGTTATCGTGTTATCTTTGCTACAAGCGTTTAATCCATCAGCTTTTAGCATCTGAGCGAAGTACTAGCCACAAATTTGGTTCAGTTCACTTTAGTTTTAGTATAAAACTACAAATTCGCCATGGGCAGTGCGCTAAGCCGAACTGAACAAAAGGATTCCACTCAAGGTAAGTTTTCGAGATGTGAAATGTTGTTTTTCTGTACCTTTTAACGTTTATCTAACTGTGTTTGTTATTGTAAGATATATCATGTGCCTAATAGAGTGACAACCTCAAATAGTAGCAAAAATTATCTAGACACTGTTGAAATCAGTTTGTTTCGAAGACTCAGTTTCAGTTTGATGGTGCTGGTCTCAGAAACTAGAATCCAAAACTAGTATTTCCTAGTGTCCTGCGCTGAGTTAGATAAGTCCCGCCCTTAAGGCAGGTGTTTTGGCCTGAAGATGCTCTGTCTTGGTTTATAGACAAGCATCATTATGGATTGTTCTGGACCTATTCTGATTTACTGAACTTTCCGACTTGATCCAGGCGCAGGATACTGTTGTAAAACATTAGGCAGACTGTAGCTAAACCCACCATTTTAGGTTTATGAGTTAAAACTGCTTTGGCGCTGTATGAGTTTCAATGTTCAAACACATAGAGGATTAACAATAGGTCACATCACCACAACCCACTGAGACAGCACTCCCACAAAGTTATGATTTTTATTATATAGTAAATCTCACTATTTATTCAACCATTCTTATGGAACCAGTAAAAAGAGGAACAGGTGCTCACCTTAGTATCTGTGTCACCCTGTACTTTTACTTTTACTTAACAACAAACTTTTAAAAAATGAAATGTTGAAGTATTGATATTTAAATATTTGTCATGTTTTTTTCTTGAGCAGACAGTTCCAGACTGAGATCCTCTGATGAGGACGAGAGTGGCTCTGACGCAAAGAAGCGACCCTTAGAAGGTAAGAGGCAACACAAAACTAAATAACTACATCAATAGTAATTACAGACAGCAAAAATGAGAAGAAACTGCACACCATTAATTCTCCCTACATTTTATAGAGCAAATCAAACTGGAAAGGCCAGCAGATTACAACACGCTGAGTGACACAGAGGATACGAGAAGACCAGCACCAAGGTGTAGCAACGATGCCTCCAGTTCTACACCAGGGCCTAGTGAAGTCTTGGCCTGCTCTGGTCCCTCTGTGGCTCCAAACACTGAAACTAAGAGAAAGTCTCAGTGCAGCGAGGAGGAGGACGAGGAGCAGCGCAGTCCACGGAAGAAGAGCAAAACAGATGATGCTCCAAAGGAAAGGACGCGCTGGTCAGAACGTCACTTCTCACGTTTGAAGAGAATCTGGATGATAACGACAGGTAATATAACCTACACATTTAACCGCATTGGCCAACTTGTAATGTTTCTTTGTTACTGTAAGATTTACCATGTACCTAATAGTGTGACCACAAACTGCATCAAAAAATGACAGATAATAATGTGACACTAACAAACCATTCATTCTCCCAACATCTTATAGAGGAAATGGAGGAGGAAACTCAAGCGGCCTCCACCCCGACCTGCGCAGATGGTAAGTGTAACAATATTTATTACATATCTAGAAATCTGTTGGTAAAGGCTGTTTAATTCAAATCAAAATCTTTTACAGAGCTCTCCAAAAAGTACACGTGGGCTGAGATATTGCAGGAAGGAGGCTTTGGAAAAGTCTTTAGTGGGGTTCGCATTGAGGACAACTTACCAGTAAGTCTACAAATGTATTTGAATCTATTGGTTTAAGTAGAACTAAAGCAGCCATTAATTGATTAGATTTGAAAAGCATTTACAATGATTTTTAATAGTAACACTGCCATCACATTTTGACTCTACAGGTGGCTCTCAAGTTCATCAAAAGGACTATGGTGACGTTCATAGATGTGGTAAGTAATATATTCTGTATCTTTAAGTGTACAAGTATGTCTCCATCATTATTAATACTGTTCATTGTGTGGTTCAAAGGAGATGGATGGAGTTCCAGTCAGACTTCCTAAGGAGGTCTACTTCCTGATTAGGGCAGGAGCAGGGCCCACCTCCTCAGACTCCAGAGTGACTCCACAGCTGCTGGACTGGTACGAGCTTTACCAGGACATTGTGTTGGTGCTGGAGAGACCAGTGCCCTGCCTGGACCTTGTGGACTATTTCGAAAACGTAGACATGAGCCCCGACATGGCCAAAGTAAGTGTCTAAAACCTGACTTCTCTAAAAGTAGTAATTACTGAGAACTTCACTCATCAATGATGTCTTTCAGATCATTTTCCGTCAGTTGGTGGATGAAGCTATCGAACTGGAGTCTAAAGGCATCTTTCATCGGGACATCAAGCCTGAGAATGTGCTGCTGGAGACGGGCTCCGACGTCCCCAGAGCCAGGTTCATAGACTTTGGTTGCGCCACCTTTTTCACACCTGGACAAGAGTTTACTGATCCACAAGGTAAACATTGTACTGTTGCTAATGAATGATCAAATGTACCTGACAAAGTACTTCTGATGAAGTGATCCATGTATTGTACATTTACTGCTTGAAATATACCAGCACTCTCCTAAATAGGTTTGTTTTTCAGGCACTTTAGATTACTCCTCTCCGGAGTGTTTCTGTGGGCAAAGCTACACAGCAGGACCCACCACGGTGTGGCAGCTGAGCGTGCTGCTGTTTGTCATGCTCTTCAAGAGGCTTCCTCTGTCTCAAGAGGAGAACATCGGCTCAGTGCGAGTTGTTCCTATTCCAACCTGTATTCCACAAGGTAACTGCACATCTCCAAACATTTGACTTTGACTGACACAGTGTTCCTGACTCTAACCTCCTGTCTGTGTGAATGCAGGATGCAGAGACCTGCTGAGGGGCTGCTTGAAGGAGGACCCTGAAGAGCGCCTGACCCTGCAGGACATCAAAGACCATCCGTGGTTAAACACAATTTAAATAAAGTGTATATTACAAAATACAATAGAAAATGTTTTTCTTTCAAAAGTGTGTCTGGTTATACACCGTACTTTAATACTTAATAAAATAGTCTTAATTAAAAGAGAGTAAAAGTTATCATTTCATTATTAATATGGTATGTCCTCTTTATCACTTACTATTATAGTCGTCCTGACTGCATGCTGTATCCGTTTCCTCTGCATCAACTTTTGGAATGCATTTGAACAAGCAGGCTCTTGGTTGTAGCTGCTTGAGTTGCTCTAAGTAACCATGGTATGCTTGCATGTAGGCGTGATCACCATTAACAGCAGCAAGGGGGGTTTTCTTTCTTGGCATCGAAGCATTAGATCTTGGGATAGATTCTCTGCATTTCCCGGGGACAAAATCTATTTCTTCTACTGGCTGAGTAAGGGCATTGCTACCAAACACTTTATTCCACCTGCAAAAAAATATAAGACATATTATGATTAAACAGAGACTTAAACCTTAACACTTGTCAACATTGAGGTGTAATGCAGCTATCATCAGCTTTGACTAGGGGGAAAAGGGTGGAACTGACTGCCGAAATGTGGGGAAAATATAGTGAATGATGACATGGGGATGTCGACTATGAACAGTTTTAAAATAATATTGAAATCACTGATGCATGCATCCCCAAATCCCTGATATTTAGATTAAAGAAAAATAATGTTCAGTATAAAAAAAGTTAAGGACCAGACATAAAAATGCTTCAACGTTACCTGCAAGCCTCACTTGTACAGGAAGTCTCCGTCAGTCCAATTCAAACAGCTGTCTCCACTTTGAAAAGGATTGCAGCTTCATGATTGCAAGTTTCTCCAAGTCTGAAATCAGAAGCAAGATTCTTATAAATATGATAAAATCTGGCAGACAAAATCAAGAATTCTCAACAAAAAATGACTTACCCAGCCTTACAATCACAGTGACCAGTGATTACTTCTCCAGTTTTCCAGCACACACCCAAGGCATGTGAGACTCTTGAGACTCGGGCTGCCCTGGTCTCACTTTGGCCTTTAAAATAACAAATTCTTCTTCGACTTGTCGAGAGACTTGTTGGCGCTCCACATACAAAATGTTCGCTGCAAACTCAGGATGATTTAGGCAGTCAAAAGTTTCCTTTTTGGTCCTTCCTGTGGATCAATCCTGCCCTTCGCCTTCACCTTTCACTAGTTTTCAATTCTGTTGGAAAGGGAAACAGTTTGAACGGAGGTTTGCAGTCACACACATCTGATTCTTTGCTTTTATGGAGTTTGCAAACAAATTTCTCAATCCGATTTCGGTGTACATGTGTGAATTTTAGTGGTTTAAGATGTAAGATGCTTAATTAAATCTTCACAAATGAACTCTACTCTCTCTGTCTTTATCACCTGTTCTCTGTTTCTCTCTCTTCTCTGTCATCTCCTTCTCTTTATCACTCTTTAGCCCTTTCAAAGTCTTTCTGTCTGTCAGTTCGGACATTCCCTGGACACGCTACAGTCCGGCTCGTGTTGTTTTCACTGGCTCAGGAACAGGACAGTGGTTTTCTCGGAGACTCTCTCACATTAAACATAATGATCACGGCCTTCACAGCCTCACGTTCCGCTACTGTCCCTGCACTTTGAGCCAATTAAAACACTCGCTGAGGCTTACGGGGCTTCACAGACAGACCCTCAGCAGGTCAGATATGGCTAACGGTGATATTTACAAGAAGACAACAGCTGACTGACCGTGGTGACTACACTTTATGATATAACTGCAAGTACAGAGACATTTTAATGATCAGGAATGCTTTGGATTAAATGGACGCTTTCAAAACTCCGCCAAACCGTCACCAATAACTCACTCAAGCACTTTCATAGACAAGGTGGATAGTGTCTTGCAGCGGTTGGTAGAAGTGTGCAAAAATAACAAAATACCAATATATCGTATCGTTTAATGTGATGATACAGTATCGATATCTTGGGCTGCTGTATCGATACATCACCAAGAGTATATTTTGGTATATTTTACTCAATTATTTTGATACAGTGCTACAGTTTTGTTGTTTGTTCAGAGGAAGGAAACTCGATTACGCAACACATTTGACACATTCACTGTTTTGATGATTAAAATGTTTGTGTTTCATATGAACTTTGCACAAGAAGTGATTTAACAAAGACTTTTAGTATCACAGCCATGATTCAGCCTTTATATTTATTGAACCGTATCGAATCAATTTGAAATATATCGTATCGAATTGAAAGTGCACTGTATCGAGGTATGTATCGTATCGTGGCCTATATATCGTACCGTGGGCTATGTATCGAGATATGTTTCGTATCGTGGGCTACGTATCGAGGTATGTATTGTATCGTGGCCTATGTATCGAGATATGTTTCATATCGTGGGCTATGTATCGAGGTATGTATTGTATCGTGGCCTATGTATCGAGATATGTTTCATATTGTGGGCTATGTATCGAGGTATGTATTGTATTGTGGCTATGTATCGAGATATGTTTCATATCGTGGGCTATGTATCGAGGTATGTATCGTATCATGGGCTATGTATCGAGGTATGTATTGTATTGTGGGCTATGTATCGAGGTATGTAGCGCATCGTGGCCTATGTATCGAGATATGTTTCATATCGTGGGCTATGTTTCGAGGTATGTATCGTATCATGGGCTATGTATCGAGGTATGTATCGTATCATGGTCTATGTATCAAGGTATGTATCGTATCATGGGCTATGTATCGAGGTATGTATCGTATCATGGGCTATGTATCGAGGTATGTATCGTATCATGGGCTATGTATCGAGGTATGTATCGTATCATGGGCTATGTATCGAGGTATGTATCGTATCATGGGCTATGTATCGAGGTATGTATCGCATCGTGGCCTATGTATTGAGGTATGTATCGGATCAGCAATTTCTAATGGTACCCAGCCCTGGTGGTTGGAGAGGAATCATATTACCAGCTTCTAAACTTTTTGCTGAAACTCCAATGAGAATCTCCTAACGTAAAAGTTAATTAAAGTACATATCACTGGACTCATAACGTTTACTATACTGGGTTTCTGTGCAGAGTTTGTTCTCACCGTGCGTAGTATCAGTGTGAAAATCCCCTGTGTATGGATGGGTTACAGCACTTTCCCAAACTTTTTCTAGGCACCCATATTTTAAAAATCACAAACCTTTGCGACCCAAGTCAATAGACATTATTCATAAATCACAAAATAAAGGTGTATTTGATTTATTGAACATTAATGAGGATATTTGATTGTTGACTGAGTGAACAATCAGTATTACTCAAGTTTTAAACAACGAAAAACAAGTAATTGAAGCAGCAATAAAAGGATCCATAAGTTGCCTATTTGGAAATTAAATGTAGCCCATTTCTTTTTCTTTTGAACATTCAATTGAACCAGTAATATTGGAACAAAATAGTCAATAAAATCATTACAAAAAGATTAGAAATGATACAAAACATGTCTTAACATTTCAACATTTCTAGTGAGATAGGTGGGTCTGTCTGTGTTTTTGTAGCTCGTTTCAGTCCGGGTGCAGGAGGAGAGCGCCGCAGCAGATCAGACGCAGCGTTCAGTCTGTTTCTGTGCTTTGTTTTCATTTTTGTGAGCACAGAAAATCTCAATTCACACATTTATGTAGTAGTGAACAGAATAAGCATAGAAATACTGGCCCTACTCTGGACAGGATATTCACTCTCACGTGTCAGAACTGTATATTTCAGACGTACATGCAGATCGTGACAGGACAACACGAAATAAAATCTCTCACTGTTGATATGTAAGATTTTACTTTTTTCATCCACTTTACTTTTCCTTCTTTGCTGATTTATTTCTCTTATGTTAAGGTGCCAGTATCAGCTAAAGAAAAAGACTTCCCTTATCAGAGTGAGTGATAGACTGAGCCGTCGTCTTTGCGTGGGACCACAGGAGCAGCAGCACTGTCCCGGGACGTTTGTGTTTACAGAGGAACAAAAAGACGACCCATCAGCCCCTTCACCCTCATGACCTCTGACCTCTGCAGGGACTCGCCTCTTCACAAACTCTCTCCACTCTGGGTTAGAACATTTGTGGATCCTTTACTAATAAAATGCCGTCTCTGTGAAGTGATATAATGACCCATGATGTTTTTTATTTGTGAGACCTTCTAGTGAGTTATTAGTTTAAAATATAGACATTTTATAACTCTGGCAGAGCAGTGACTAAACAAGACTCTCGCATCGCAGCAAGAAGGTCCCAGGTTCAACTCCCAGGCCCTTGAGAGTTTCTATGTGGAGTTTGCATACTCTGTCTGATCCGCTGTTGGCAGAGAAAGTGTCCAAACAAACCAAAACAAACAAGGCGACACAGACAGAGGTACATCAAACTGTCTGTGCTTTTCTCTCAAAGTGTAGTTTCTCAACTTGTGACGCTTCCCCAATCAGCTTCAAGTATTTGTTTGAACTTTTCTTGAGCACTTTGGTGAGAATAATCCCAGACTGATAATGTGTAGTCCCAAAATCAGAGTGCACATGACAAAATAGATTCTGCCAGGGCTCTACATGAAGCAAGAAGGTCCCATGTTTGATTCCCTGGTTGCGTTGGCGTTTGTGTTTGTATGTTCTCCTTATGTCCTTTGGGTTTCCTCCAAGCTCACTGGTTTCCTAGTCAAGCTGGCACCACCTAGTGCCTCCGCTCAATTTCATTTCTCTCCAGAGACTAGGTCAGGAATCGGACGGTTCGCAAAAACTCCGGAAGCGCAAGTTTGGGGCACAAGCCAATCAGCGAAGAGCCATACATTCTGTGCTGGCAACGATTCCTGAGATCGAGAATTTTAAACTGGAACAAAAAGAATCTTAGGTGAATTTTTTCAAGGGGAAAGACGTTATTGCCCTTCTTCCTACAGAATTTGAGAAAAGTTAAATATACCAGTTTGCCCTGTTAGTGGCGCATTACATATGTCACGACCAAATAGCAGTGATTCGTTAAATAAAAAAAGTACCTGCCTACCGTCGAGTGAACGAATCCTTAAGCTGCAAAGTCAGACGGTTTCCGTGAACAGAGCAGCCGCAGGGTCTTAAATTTCATGTTCTTAAATTAAGGCCTTAAAAATTCTTAAATGTCGTTTCTTATTTTTTTCACAAAGGTCTTAAATTTCTTTTGTATACTTTTTTGTATACTGCTGCAGTGCAATGTTAAATGGAGGGAGGAAATAAAAACAACATGTAATGTGGATGAATGTCTAATTTGGAGTTTGCGCAAACAATACTTTGGTTTCTGACGCCAGCAGCAATGAGTAAATGATCAGGAAAGTGGAGGAAGACACTGCATGGATCATGGGGAAGTGTAGGTTTAATGCACAGTGGCTCTTAGTTTCTAGATATAGTACTAGTAGTTGGTTGGTCATTATTAGAATTGACTCTGGTGTTTTTCGCCCACATAATGGGTGCGATGCTGGTCTTCATTTTCATTGAAGTGGTCTTCAAAAGGTCTTAAAAAGTCTTAAACTTGAGTTAGTCAGACCTGGGGATACCCTGGTGAAGTCAAACCATCTGATGAATCAAGCTACTGGTTTCCTCCATCAACCCAAAATATTTACAATAGATAAAATCCTCCAGACCAAGACTAGCTCAAGATCTGGAGATGGATCATGTTCCTGAGGAGATGCACCAGTGACATTGAAGGATGAGTGAAATGCAGACAATAAATAAGGTACACTTTAACTTTTGAACGCCTACATAATTACCATAATCTCACTAGAAACTATAATTTAGCAGCAGTTGTAGCAAAAGTATCATCCTGCCTATGTGTGATTAGAGGTTAAATGTCAAATAAATAATAAAATAATATCATTCTGCCCTTCAGAGCGGATACCACTACTAAATTATAGTTTCTAGTGAGATTATGGTAATTATGTAGGCGTTCAAAAGTTAAAGTGTACCTTATTTATTGTCCACATTTAGTCCATCCTTCAATGGCACTGGTTTCCTCCATCAACCCAAAATATTTACAATAGATACCAAGACTAGCTCAAGATCTGGAGATGGTTCGTGTTCCTGAGGAGATGCACCAGTGACATTGAAGGATGGGTCAAATATGGACAATAAATAAGGTACACTTTAACTTTTGTATGTCTACATAATTACCATAATCTCACTAGAAACTATAATTTAGTAATGCTGTCCTCTCTGTAGGGCAGAATGATATTATTTTATTATTTATTTGACATTTAACCTCTAATCACACATAGGCAGGATGATACTTTTGCTACAACTGCTGCTAAATTAGAGAAGAACATTAAATTATTTGGTGTCATCATGATAACACCATGTATAAACATATAGACAACTATTAGATAAAAAGCACCATATTCAGAATGCAAAAGACGAGCGTGTCTCCGTGTCTCTCCTGGTGCAGATTGAGTATGAAAAGTGCGTCCTCATCTGAGTAAGAGCGGCTCTGTGGAGGAGATCATTGATCAGCTGTAACAGGATTATCTCTGTCTGTTTTGATGAGATTTAGTGTAAGACAAAAGCCTTTTCCCGTGCTCCCCGGGTCACAGCTCTGCGCTCAAATTAGCAACTTTATTCAATGGGAGATTAATTAGTTAATGGTGCAGAGCAGGGGATGAGGAGAGGATCGGACCACTGTGCCCACTGCTCAGTCCTGGCTTTGGACTGGTTCTTCAGACTTGGTTCTTTTTGAGGTTAACTATTGCTTTAGTGTTGTGTTCTTGGGCAAGACACTAGACTCCCTGGTGTCACTCCCACTATACTAAAGTGCAAATTTAAAATGAATGGACTAAATCGGAGAAACTTGTAAATGTGCATTGTACATTTCAGTCAATATTGTGAGTTGCTCAGTCTGTTCAGGGGTGTTGAAGGATGGGGTCAAATGCAAAGGACAAGTTTCATTACAGCAGCGATAAAGTATCTTAAAGCAAAATTTACTTTTGCGAGCTTTTAACCCTGTGGTAGTTATTTCCTCTTCTCGTTTATCCTCTCCAAGTTGTATTTGGAGTAATTCGTGCATCTTTCAGCCCATATTTTCACCACCACCAGGACATGTCCACAGCTCTGAACTGATTTTATTTTCTCAGTTGGTGATACACATACGATTTAGCAGCATCATGTAGTCATTCTTGTACAAAAAAAACAACAAAACAAAACATAAATTAAAAAAAAACCTCTCTACATGATCCGCAGCGATCCATTGTGATGATGTTTAGAGCGACGTCAGCTCCCATTGGACACTGTAGTTTTCTAACATGAAACTAAGTGAATGTTTTAGATGACTACTGTGATTTAAGATGTTCAGATTATAACATAATTAAGGAAGCCGAGAGGGGTCACAACAAACGCAAACGCCGCAACAAATACAAATGCGACAACACAACAAAAAGCCACAACAAACCAAAAAAAGCCACAACAGAAATGACCGCGAGACTCTATTTTAATGCAAACGCCGCAACAAATACAAACGTCCCAACATAAATGCAAATGTAAGTAAAAGTAATTCATTGTTTTATCATTATTCGTTTCACGTTGTAGTTCTTCTTCTTCACTTGCCGCTTGATCGGTCCGTCGGAAAATAGAGTCCCGCAGTCACTTCCGTTGTGGCTTTTTGCCGTGTTGTGGCTTTTTAATGTGTTGTGGCATTTGCGTTTGTGTTGTGGCGTTTGTATTTGTTGCAGCGTTTGCATTAAAATAGAGTCCCGCGGTCATTTCCGTTGTGGCTTTTTTTGGTTTGTTGTGGCTTTTTGTTGTGTTGTCGCATTTGTATTTGTTGCGGCGTTTGCGTTTGTTGTGACCCCTCTCGGTTTCAGTACATAATGATCCACCAGTGTCATAGATTATAACTATAGAGCAGGCTCAAGCACAATAGGTTTTCTTTAAAGGTGCATTAATTAAGTTTTATGGAAAAGTGTCTGTCACCTGCTTGATTGAAGATGTTAATGCTTTGCCTGTAATGTTCCACAGCATGGCATTAAACAAAAAAACAAAAATCTATCTTGTTTTCCTTCCATTTCCATTGCAAGATGTTATTACCAACACACTCTGACTATGAGGGGGGGTCACAGATCTGACCTGAAACTTGGCCTGGAGGTGTCACCTTCTCATCTCCATAAATTTAATTGCGTACTGTGGAACTGTCAGGGGAAAGTAATAACATCTAAACGGAGACAAGCAGGTGGGTATTCCAAGAACTGAGCTCAAGCGAAAGCCTAGAACACCTGTCTCTGTGTGAGTGGAAAAAGTGACTTTTATAGTCATGTGTCACTTGAGGTTTGCTGCAGTTATGAAAACAAACCATTTAAATGTCTATGGCCATTATTTCATTAAAATGACCTTGCACATGTGGATGTTGTGAGGGGCAGAACACACAGCAAAAAGTGGAGTGTTAAATTGACTCTCACAGAATCAATTTTAACATTTTCTTACAGTTTATATGAGTCCAATCTGTTCTAAAGTTAATTAAACATTTTTGGACAATGTTAATGAAGTAACACTGGACCAAAGTTCCTGTTTCACCCCAAAATCAAGAGTTATATTAACATTTTGAGAGTAAATGAATAACACTTTGTAGGGTTATCCTGATTTAGCTAAACAACACACAGAGATGTTTTATTTTTACTTTATTTTAGTTAATTTAAGATGAAATTATGTACAAAACTGGTTCAAACTGGTCTTCTGTCGCGGGAGTTTGAAGTGGTGGGTGGGAGGTGCCAAATTAACACCAACTGAAGTTGAATTAACACTAGTGGAAGTTGAATTAACTCCAATCATATCAACTCTGGTAAATAACCCCAAGTTGAACCCCCATTTAACTTTCAAATAGTTAAAATAACACTTTTTTGTGTTAAAAACAACTCTAAAATATTTCACCTTGAAATTTTAACTCCAGTTTTTGCTGTGCAGCTTTTACACACAGGCAGACGCTGGTTTGGACTCATCATTACGTCTGTCTCTCTTCATTTCCTCGTCTCTCACTCCCTGTCAAACTGCAAACACCTTGGCGTGCTTTTTATC